CCTCGTGAAAAAAACCCTCCGGATAAAAACCCTAATGGAAAAAACCCTTCTGGTAAAAACCCTTCTGGTAGAAAACCTCCTGCTAGAAAACCTCCTGCTAGAAAACCTTCTGGTAGAAAACCTTCTGGTAGAAAACCTTCTGCTAGAAAACCTTCTGCTAGAAAACCTTCTGCTAGAAAACCTCCTAGTAGAAATCCTCCTGGTAGAAAACCTTCTGGTAGAAAACCTTCTGGTAGAAAACCTCCTGGTAGAAAACCTCCTGGTAGAAAACCTCGTGGTAGAAAACCTCCTGGTAGAAAACCTCGTGGTAGAAAACCTCCTGGTAGAAAACCTTCTTGCGCTGCTCATTAAGCCAGTAAATAATCTCTCCGTTTAAATAAAGAGCTGCGTGAATCTGATGCGACGGCTTTGGGTTGTTTCCTGCCAACAGCTGGTTGTTTTGTAATTTTCTGGGCTCCTCAGCAGGTCCTAATTGCTTATTGTGTCTCCTCCCAGCTGATAATGGATATTAAGTCCCTACTAATTACTGCTGCATGCAAACAGCCTCTGGTTGAGCACGTCCTGCCGTCTGGTTTATTAGCTCCTATAAGTCTTCTCTAGTTTTATTCGTCTTTGTCACAACTGCTGATACTTAATAAATAATGGATTTTGTTGCCAGGATAAGGTGAAATATTAAACCTTTGTGCAGGAGCTTGTTCTGGCCCCTTTGGGACAGTAAACATCTGTAGATGATTTAGGGCTGCTTGCTTACAGCTCCCTGTGGAGCCATTCAGAGCTGACATTAACATGCTCCTGCCTGATTTAGTCACAGGTGGACAGCTTTTAAGTAGTTATGTTCACACCTAGCGTTAGAATCTGTCCTCTGTTGTTGGACTTTGAAAAATAAGGAGAGTTCAGTGTTGTCTGGATGTTTTATATCTTGAAATCTCCACTGCTTTCAGCTGTATGTCTTCACCCAACCTCTTGATTAAAGTTTATGACATTGGTACTTGATTCTGCAATGAAATGGCACATGATTCTGCCCCTTTAACGGTTTTCATTGTCAGAAAGATCGTCCAAACGTTAACATGTTTTAGAGCCACTGTTCCGATGTTAGGCGATGTTGAAGTGTAATCCCGATAGTCTCCTAACTCTCTTGTTGGATCATCACCTCGGCTCTGCTGGTTGTTTCGCCTGAATCGGACGTTTTCTTTGTGGCGTTCCAGACAGCATGACCATGTCCATGGAGGGCTTCGGCCCCGACAGCGTCTTCACCACGCCGGCCGAGGACAACGGCCAGTACCGCATCAGCCGCAGCCTGGTGCGCTCCGCCGAGGACAGCACCGTGCCCCTCACCCGAGTCAAGTGCCTGGTCTCCATGACGACGCCCCACGACATCCGGCTGCACGGGTCGGCCGTCACGCCGGCGTTCGTGGAGTTCGACACGTCACTGGAGGGATTTGGGTGAGTCTGCATGATCTTTACCTGGTTCTCTTCTTTCTTAATGAAGTAATAATAGTAATAAATCAGGTTTTTGGGGGGAAAACAGCAAAACTTTAATGTTATTGTCACCTTACTTTTTCTAAAGTTTAAGTTTTTTGCAAGTTTTAATATTTTGTGTTTTAGACCAACACAAATTGGTGCTTAACTTTAAAAATTTGGCCTTTTTGAAAGAGTAGCGAGTAGAAAAAAGTCCTCAGAAGTAGAGCTGAATCGATTAATCATGATTAAGAGATTATTGAAATATTCGTTATTGAGACTAGCAATTAAAACAAAACTGAGCTATACATATATATATTTATACAGTTTGCATTTAAGTTAAAAACACCTCTGTCTGTCTAAATATATCTTAGATAAAACTATGCAAGTGGTATCATGTTAGCTTCAGCTGGTTCAAATTTATTAAGTGACAAAATGTGAAAATAATTATGAATTATTGCTAAAAAAAATTTATTTCCTCGTGACTTTGTAGAATAAATACCAGTATTGTCTATAACTAGGCCTGCCACAATAACACTTATATACTAGACGATAAATTGTCCCAGCAGTTATCGCGATAAATGGTAATATTGTTGTTTTGAGACCATTTTCATATAATGGTTATATCATAATGATGCACTTTAATTTCTAATGAAAATAAACAAATCCACAGAAACAACAAATAAATTCATTATGTAGTCTCTCTAAACAAAATTGTCTTTGAATAAAACTAAAACATTGTATGACTGTATTTTCTCCAGTTTTAGAGTAAATTATAAAGACATAAAACAGAAAGTAGATTTATTTTTGTGTTGTGTTTTCTATACAACATAAACAGCACAAACAAAATTTAGCAATGCAATTTTAACATATCACCAAAGTAGGTTTCATTCTCTGTTAATTAGATTCCAGTTGGAAATATCTGCGGTTCTCCTCAGAACCCACGATGTGTGTTTTTTTTTAAGGTGTACCAGATGGTGTCCGTTCTTGTTGTGAATCTCTTTACGGATCAGTTTTCCTCACCGGTGACACGCGCCTCGGGGCGCCGCGTTTTTTCTGCCCTCAGTGAAAGATGTCGGTGTTTTTTCCCTTCCTCTTCGCAGCACCTGCAGCCGTCTCAGCAGGGGGCTGCTGTCCGCCTGCAGTCGTGGCGCTCCGCATACAAACAGGCTCATTTTCCGCCTTTTATGTCGTGCCGGCTACCTTTTGCTGCTCCGCGCTGCTGACAGACGCACCTTCATTCCCCCACAAACTCCCCACGGCGATTGTTAGCAGAAAACATGTTCTTTGGAAAATGACCTTGGCAATTTGCTTCCACATTTGTGCAGACATGGCTGACAAATCCACTCACATCGAATCCATAAAGGCGTGGCAGAGATTTGAGAACCATTTTTTGATTTCATATAAATCTGATTGTATAACTTTATTGAATCAATTTACAATTTAAATCAGTCAACTTACTTTTTAAAATCAATTAACCTTTGATTTAATTTTTGATTTAAAAGGTTAATTCAGTATTTTTTATTGAAATTAGGCAAAAGTCAGTACATTTTTACTGAAATTAGGGCATTTAAAAAACACTTTTTGTAAGTGTTTAGAAAAGCGTTTTACTATATTCAATCAATTTGCATTACCTTTAGCTCTAATTTTAATATATTTTTAAAAACATTTTTATTGTGCTAATTTCATTGTGTTTACCTAAATTAGGTAAATTTCTGTGAAGCTTTACTGAATTTAGGGCATTTAAAAACAGTTTTTAGATTTTATATCAGTTTTTTTATTTTAGTTATTCAAATTATTTTAATCAATTAAATTTTAGCCCTAATTTCTACTAATTTTTAAAATGTACTAATTTAGTAACATTTTTAAATTATGTAAAATTCTGTACTTTTCTGCTTAAATTAGGGCATTTTAAAAAAATAAATTTTTTGACTTTATGATCTGCTTTTTTACTTTATTCAGCCAATTTACTGAAAAATTAATTATTAACCATAATTTCAGTAAATTTCCACTAATTTTTCAAATGTTGCATTGAATTTCTACTCATAATATGTAAAATTATTATGATTTAGCAACAACCTGCCATTGAGACGAGAGATGGAAATTATCCACCTGACTATAAAATTAAAATAAATAAAATAAATAAAACAAATAACTAAATAAAAATTAAATTGTTTTATGAGAATGCCCATCCACTTTATAAACAAAAATAAAATGCCTTAATTTCAGTAGAAATAGATAATTTCAGGCTGCAGCACTGATTGGACTGAAAAACAAAATGGAGTTGGTGAAGCCAACACAAGCTGCTGCAGAAGCTCATTCATATAAAAATCACTTTACATTCCTGGAACCGTTTGTAAAGTTTGGCTGAACAACATGAAACAGACTTGATGAAAACGCTGTGTCATGTTCACACCGTTAATTAGCTTCTTTTTGTGTGTGTGTGTCAGCGCTCATGCAGATAATCCAGATCAAACAGCTGCTTTGATTTCCGGAAACCCTGCAGCGATCGCACACCGCCGCAATCCACCTTTCCTAACTTTCTTTCCTTTTTTACTCGTGGAAACAAAATGGAAATAGAACATGGAGTTTCTTCTGAAAACGCGGCGGCGAGGCGGTGGCCCACTTTCAGCGAAAACTCAGGAGGAAACCCACTCACAGCCCCTTCTCCCCCTCCCATCTGTCAACATGAAATATTGATGCTGCTGCCGCTGTTAGGAATCACACACACACCCACACACACACACCCACACACACACACACACACACACACACACACACACACACACACACACACACACACACATGACTACACACTCATCCAGCCAGGCGAGGAAGATGTTACTGCTGTGGAGGGAGGAAGACTTTTCTTTTTGAAGATTTTTATTTATTTACGTCTTTTTTTTTTCTTTTTTGCATAATGTCGGTGAGGAAGTCTGCTGAAACGCTCGTTAGCTTGACATGCTAACAGGCGCCACACACGACCTTGGAAAAAGTCCTGAAAAAAAGTCATAACAAGGAATTGTTAAAACTAAAAATTGGCAGTGGTGTGGATGTGGTCAGGTAGCCAGCCGTGACCTTTGACCCTGCTATCCAGGAGGAAAAACGAGAGAAAGAGAAACATTAATGGGCTCAGAGAGGGTCTCATTAGAAATACAATGGAACCAGTAGAGAATCTAAACTGGGAGTTTCTTTCTTTCTTTCTTTCTTTCTTTCTTTCTTTCTTTCTTTCTTTCTTTCTTTCTTTCTTTCTTTCTTTCTTTCTTTCTTTCT